GCCGGCGCTCGGCAGGTCATGCGCATCCAGGAAAGGATCTCGTGCCAAATCTGCCGCGAGAAGGGGCAGGCTAGCAGGAGGTGTTGCATCGTCTCCGGGGCCTGGTCGCACAAAGGACACGCCGTGTGGTGCTGAAGCCTATGCCGTGCGAGGCGGTCAGCCGTCCAACAGCGGTAAGGCTGACAAGCCAGAGAAAGAATTTCACTTTCGGCACCGCCCAGCTCTTCCAAGTGAGCTTCCAGTGGTTGCAGGTGATTGATCCGTGGAAGGATGCGAGGTAGGCGGATTTAGCAGTGTAGGTGCCGACCTCAGTCCACTTCCAAATCAGCTTGTCAGGCTTGGCGGAGAGGGCAATACACCATAGGAGTCACCAAAGCAACAAGTACTGACCAATCTCGTGAACGCCGTGAATGTTCCGCACGCAGAGGTGGGCTTGTAGGCCCTCAGTGACCGTCCTGTTCTTCCTTCGCCGGGGATGCAGGCATGCAGCAAGGGGGCAATCTCGTGAACGGAGTGCCCATTGGTCCACCGGTCTTCCCAAAATTTGGTGTTATGGCCATTCGCAATGGATGTGTGGGTGCTGGCGAAGAAGAAGGCCTGCTCCTCGACAAGGAACTGGAGGCCGAGACCAGCCCATGCACGGCGCTCGTCGGTTTTGCTGAACCAGAGCCAACGGGTCCTGAGCGCCATGCCGGTGCGCTCCAGGTCATGCACTCCCAATCTGCCAAGGCTCCTGAGGCACGCGACGCAGCCCCAGTTGACATGGCAGTGGCCTCCTTTGGCTTCGGCGCACCCAGCCCAAACGAACCCGCGCTGGATACGCTCGAGCATGCGGAGGATCCTCTTTGGGGGCGCCAACACAAGCAGCTGGTGTAGTGGGATCACGCTGAGCACCGATTTCACCAGTGTAACACCCCAAGAATCATGCTATAGTAATCTCCTCTTAATGGTGGCCATGTCATCATGATTACTATGCAGCTTGCCACTTGTCCAAAAATTCACAGCCTTTTTCAAATTTAAAATAAGTCGAATAAATTATTTTTTCGAGCAGTAAAATTAAAATGTTTGCATTATTCTAAAAAGTCTCCTGATCATTTCTCATGTTGAAATCAACATCATTTGACTCACCAATTAACCCCTAGGAAATTATAAAGTGGTCCAACAGTAAATAAAAATAGTCCTTTTCAAAATAAACAAATACTTATACAGTTCCAAGTGTCCCCAAACTTTATGGGACGCTCCAGAATATTGCATAGTAATTATTTGCAAATTTTGAGTCCAAGAAAAATTCATTTGCTATTTGAACTAAATAGAAAACTGAGACAAAATGATTAACAAAAAAGGAGAAAGGAAAATGGACAAACTTACATTTTGGACTGGGCTCTATGTGCATAGTGGACAATCGCCCCAGCCCAGCCATGCCTTCTCCTTCCTTCCTGTTCACACGAGACCGTGGCGCGCATCCGGCCGCCATGGCCGCGGATGGACGCGTGCCGGCCATCCCACGACTCCCTTACCGGATAAGGCCGAGCCAGACCCTTGCAAACCCTAGCGCCTCCCCACTTCTCCTCCCCTCGCGCCACTTCGCTCTCTCCCACACCCACATGTGTCATCGTTGCCATGGCCTCCTCCGTCTGTGTGGCCATCGTCCACCTCGTCGGTTCAGGCCCTCGCCTGGAGCTACGTCTTCTTCGTATTTGTCGACTCCGAGGAGTAGCTCGAGCAGGAGATCGCCACAGCACCGGGATCGACCGCTTCTTCCTGCTTCGGTCGCCCGAGTTCCCCGCCGAATCCACTTACGGCTGCTGCTACTAAGCTGCCAATGGGACCCCATGCGCCCCTAGGTGAGCTCACAGTCCTCCTCGACCCCCTCTCGCTCCTCCTCGTGCCTCATTGGCTCATTTCCGGCGCGATTGAGCTGTCACCGCCGTCGGACATCGTCGTCCCGGTCACTTCCGGCCGTTCTAGCTCGCGCCCGTGCCACATACGAACGCGGGGCGGTGCCCTGGTCCGAATGGTTCGAGCCATTGCTCGAACTGGACCCATAGATACATTCCCGTGCATCGCCGCCGCTCCTGAAGCTCGTCGGCGGTGCGCGCGTGCGTTTAAACGCTGGTCGTGCTCTGCGTGTCGGCTGTTGCTCGCACCTGCAGTTGTTGCTGCTCATGCTGCTACCTCTGCTTACAGCCGCTGCTCTACTACTGCGCTATTGTTGCCTGCGACCACAGCAGCTGCTGCCTACACCACGCCCGCGCGCGTGTCCCCTCCTACATCCTACTCGCGTGGTCCTCGGATCGGCCTCAGCCGACCGCGCCTTGGCCGCACTGGCCCCGAGCTCCGAGCGCCCGGCTCACCCGCAGCCGCCCGGGCCTGCTTGTGCACGCCCCGCCACGTCGTCCTTCCCCTCAGCCCGCTCGGCACTGTCGCCACCGCCTGCTGCGCAGCTGCACTGCTCTGCTGCTCCGCAACGCGTGCTCGCCCGCCCGAGTCCGTCGTTCCCCTCCCTACGTGTTGCTACCCCGCGCTCCGGCCACGTCCAGCGTGCGCGCGCGCCCCGCCGTCGAGTCCAGCTCACCCGCACCTCCACCCGCCGACGCTGCTTGCGCCTGCCGCCCCGCCTCCGCTCGCCACTGCCAGCCACCTCCGCCTCCACGCGCCACTGCCGGCGGCCCCCTGCCCCGCGCCGCCTACTGCTGCCGTCGCCACCTTCACACGCCTCCCCAGTGCCCTGGCCTGCTGCTCCTGGCCGCAACCACCGAGCGTCGGTGCGCATGCAGGTGGGCGTGCCCAGCGAGGCTGCCTGTGCCTCTGTCCCTGTAATTGGGGTCCGGCCCCGTTTAGTTTAGGAACTAATCCTAATTAGTGCTAACCCCCCTCCTAATTAGTGTATGAGACATGGGCCCCATCTACTAACTACCCCTTTAAAACAATCTATTAAAAATAAAAGTGTTCCTATGACTGGTGTGTGGTGGGACCACCCCTGCATTATTTCTGTGGATAAGATCAAATAAAGCCCCTCTATGACATGTGGGCCCCATATGTCAGTTGGACCAGTCAACCCTGTCAGCTTTGACTGTTGACTGCTGACTGGGCAGTCAACGGGTCCCACATGTCATACACTTACACACATGGCTGGTACACTCCTGTGTACCCAAAACAATTTATCTAATTATTAATTTAGAATTAAATTAAATTCAGTAATTCTAAAAATGTTTTGAAACTTTGAAAATAAATAAAAAATAATCCGTAACTCGGATGAAAATAATTTATATATGAAAGTTGCTCAGAAAAATCCAACGAAACCGAATACGTGGTCCGTTCATCTGTCACATGCCCCTAGCATGCTGAACATGGAACCGCCCCCCTCTTTTCTTCTGTCCAGAAAATGCCAAACACCGAAAAACCCTCCGGATGTTTCCCCCTCCGTCTGTAATGTGTAGCACTATGTTAGGTCAACCCTAGCTCTGCATATTGTCATGTCATGCTTAGTGATGCATTTGTTTGCACTGTATTTACTGTTTCTTCCCACTCTTCTCTCCGGTAGACCCCGAGACCGATGATGCCCCTATGATCGACTACGTCACTGACGACCCTTCTTCCTTTGCAGCGGAGCTTCCAGGCAAGCAAACCCCTCTTGAGCATTCCAATATCGCTCATTTCTTTTCCTCCCATGCTTGCACTAGAATTGCTACTATTTTTCTATGATCCTATTCTGATGCATAGCCTGTTTTTGTTACCTGCATTTGTACCTTACTTGTTTATCCTAAACTGCTTAGTATAGGTTGGTTCGTGATCCATGTGTGACCCCTAACCTTGTCCCAGTTGCCCCGCTTTATGTTTGATGACTCGGTCAACGTGATCGACGTCCAGGCCCCGACACCGCACATCACCCCCCTTAGTTGTACGACTCTGCAGAGTTATTTATCGAGTGCCGAGAGTGATACCTCGTCAGCACTTCTTATGTTAACCCTGTAGTGTAGCTATTCGATCGTGGTCATCGAGGGTGATTCCTCCTTCACCACTCCCGATAACGACTCTGTCGTGCAACCCCTCAAGTGTGGACCATCGAGGGTGATCCCTCCAAGTCCACCTTGACGGTTACATCGAGTGGAAATCCATTGAGGGTGATTCCTCGGGTTTCCCCCTTGTTGTTTCGGACACACTGTTACTTTGACTTACCATAGAACCATGATGACATCGGGACGGCCTCGAGGGGTACCCACGAGTGATGTGAAGTCGGGTTGACCTGGAGGGTACCCGTGAGATAATTATGTGGAACGGTC